GGCATTTTGACAGCACTTCAGGGATCTTAGAACTTTAAGAAAAATATTCATTTCTTCCTTTGGTAAAAAAAAAAGAGAGAAATACAGCTGAAAACAGTGGAGATAACAACATGCATTTCAGTAATCTGTTATGGGAGACAGGTTACAGCCCATCCGCAGCAAGAACTGAATAACGCTCTTGGATTGGCTACATCCAAACCTCTTATCCTCCCACACCCCCCAAAAAATAAGATTGTGGAAGATATTTGTGGTATCTGTGAAACTGTAGAAGTTTCTGTAAACAAGTGTTAATTAGGTTCTATGGAAAGATCTACAAAGGTCTGAGGCCACAAGCTCTGCACCCCGATTTGATGGGGTGTACTGTACATCTTTCCAGTTCCCATACCCGGTGACTGCCTCTTCCTCACAGGAAGCACACACAGTTTCCAGCAGCACACACAGCTGCTGGACTCTCTAGTGAAGGACTGAACTGATGAACACAGAGATCCACTCGCCTTCCCTAAGCCTACATGGAGATTTGGTGGGACATCCTCAGTGTAAACAATAACATCATCAGTCAGTGCTCTGACACTGATACCAAATCAATGAGAGATGGAGTATCTGTGGTTGAATCAGGAATGCCCGGTACTGAAGTGATGTGTTCTTTCCTTCTATGGGGCATAATGAGAAAATACATTGTGCCCATTATTTTACTGGCTGTATGTATCGGAATAGGCTCCACCTTCCAAGGTATCTCATACCAAGCACCCTGCTATTGTGTGAGCTGTCCTAGGATCTAACTGCAGAGAAAACAAACAGCTAAAACTTTGTCCCAGTGAAGATTTTCTTTAAGGTCCAAAGCCAGTAGTTCTATTATAGTGTAATATTTGAGAAAATTGTAGTGCAGATGTGTTCAGGGCCACATATTATCACAAGGGGAACAAATGAATTATGTAACTAGTACCATTCTCCAGCTTTCCTGCCTTAAACAAACATCTGCATTATGAGGATGAGCTGGTATGCATCTTCCACTAAATTAAGCTTTCGGAGTATATTTTGGTTTTTGAGGCCTTATTTGGATTTTCTAGGTTTGTATGTGGAATAAGAATGTAATTGTTGAAATGAAGGTTTCCAAGTCTATGGACATCCAGCATCCTTATGAAGACATGTTGGATTCACAAGGAAGGAGACTGCTCATTTTTAATGGGCTACTTTGGAACCATTGGTGTTTTACCTGAGTCTATAACATTATTAAAATACATATATTTTCTCATTTTTAAAATATCAAACAGTTCTTTAGGAAAGGGAAAAATACAATTAGCTTTGATATCGATCTAGAGAGAGTTATATCCTAGATGTTAAGGGGGTAAAAGTAGAGAGATGTGCATCAATCTAGCTCAGTCTAGGTGGAGGGAAATGCAAATTAATATGTATAGTGAGCATAGTAAGCGTTTACCTTGCAGAAAGGATTGAAGTGGACTGGCATAGAATTTGGAATCTTTATGCTCAGTGGATTTAATCTGAGTAGTTTTAAAATATCACTAGATCTTTAATTTTAAAATGTAACTCTACCTTAAACAGTGATAAAGGTAAGGGAAAAATTCCAGCTAAAAATTATAATTTGGAGTTAAAAGTTCAATTTATATTGTAAACAAAAAGTCATTGATCATGCATTAGTCTTCCATCTTGACTACTCATGGAGCTGCAAGATTGAGCTTTCTTTACCTTGAGGAACTGGTACTATAAATCTTTCCTGGTTACATGTGACTCAGCATATAGTATGCTACTAGTTGGTTTCCTGAATGTTGTGAAGAAAGAACAACAAATGTGCATTCAGAAAAATGTATTACAATAGTTTTCAAATATACTTAATGTATTTTATATAAAAAGGAAGATTTCCAAACTTATTGACTAGTTATACTTTACTAGGTAATTTTATCTTGCTAGAGATTTAAACTATAAAATATACTGATTTTAAAAAATATAATTAGAAGCAATGATCTACTCTAGTTTAATTATCTCTTTTGATTATTGTTATTTTTAGTATGATCTTTACAGTATACTGTACATATATTATCACTGAAGAACATCAGAAAGAATACTTTCAGTTTTAAATTTTCCACTTAGAGATTACTCAAAATCATTTTACTTTTTAAATAGATTTGAAATAGATTTGTAAATCTGTTTTTGTTGCAGAGATACTATTACCCATTTAGCTGGGGCCACCTGTAGATTTTTAAATATCACGTGTGAAATCTGTGTTGCTAACATGACCTTGTAACAATTGATTTCTGTACTTCTCTAGACTCTATCAAAGGTTATTGCAAGTCAAATGAAAGCAAGAATAACAGATTGTGGAGAAGGCAGCAATTACACAATGGCAAAGTTTAGGGCTTAACTTTGGGAACAGTTGGATATGGATGCAAAAATGTTATAAGTTTTTTCTATGATACTACTTAGCTCTGCTGGTTTCAGTCTCAGGCAAGTTCTCTTCATCTAGAGACAAAGTTGAAACATACAGGCTACATGAAGGATGGTACCCATAAGATTGGCAGTTTCATCAGTGGAGCAAAAGATATTTTTGAAAGGCCCATGTGTGAACTGACAAAGAAGGCAGAGATAGCACAACAAGGCCACTGTTAGTCTTGGACATGGTGACCCATGTTTGCAAAATTGTTTGACATTTGTCTTGTTTTACCTTTTTCTCTTTCTACTTTTGCAACCTAGCCTTATTCCAAAACCCAGCATTCTCTCTCTCAGTTTCTCTGTCTGTCTCTTTCTCTCTCTTTCTCTTTCTCTCTCTGTCTCTCTTTTCTTTTTCTAACTCCTGTGGCCCTGGACCCTGAAACTGCATATAATTCTACTTTACCAGCAATGAATGAAGTGTTGCAGTTAAATGCTCCGTTGCTCTTCTCAATGTCTGACTTTAGCTTACTAAATTAAATTTTTTGAGTCTTAATTAAACCATTTACAATGTGGATGATACACTATATTAGTCAAGGTTCTCAAGATCTGCCATATGCAAGCTGAATTCTCAATAAAGCATGTGGAATCATTGAGCATGAGTGTGAGGCCTGACAATTAGGGAGGCAGATGGCATAAATCCAATGTGGCCCACCTCAAGCTGGCAGGCAGGATGAGTGCATTTTCCTTTCCTCCTATACCTTTTGTTCTATAAGTTGCCTATAGTTATTGAAGACGCCCAACCTATATTGTGAGGACCATTTTACTGAGCTCAGAAATTGATATGTTTATCTCATCCAGAGTCTCACAAAAAAAAAAAAAAAAAAAAAGATAAAAAAGGCAGCCTCACAAACACACTTGCTTGATCAAATTTCCAAGCATTTTGTGGTATAATAAAATTGACACATAAAATTAACTACCAGGCATGTGATATTATTCATGATCATTAAAATTATTACCATTCATATTTTAAGCCACTTATAGTCTAGATATATCAATGAGGTCATTATTTTGTGAAGTTTAAATTTGTGAGTATTAAAGTTCCATGTAAATTTTATCACACTACATGAATAGAAAACCTTATTAAAAAGCCGCCAGCCCATCGAAAATACATGTCTTCTATGAGATTTACTTAGTTTGCATTGACTTACTATCTGAAAAACAAATTTGTAGTTGTAGTTTAAGTGATGAAATGGGTTTAATGTGCCCCATCTCTGAAGTTCTTCTATTTATAAATGCAGTGCTCTCTGGACATAGTGGCACACACCTGTAATCCAAGTATTCTGGGATGCTAGACAACAGGATAGCAAATTCAAGGCCAGCCTAAACAATTTAGTGAATTAAAGAGAACTTCTCTTAACAAACAATAAAAAAGGGCCACAGATACAGCTTGGTATGGAGGTTATAGGTTCCATATCCAGTATGGCAAACAAAACAAAAACAAAAACAAACAAACAAACAAAAACTTTTGGTGTCTACAAGCATGATGTGTTACCAATTGATTTCTGACTGATTTTTTAATAATATTTCATCACTATTCATTCTACAGACAGGAGAGAATAGAGTAATGATGTCAGTTCATTGCTAGTTTTGTGACTCTGAGAAAGTGATTTAACCAGTTTATAGTATGGTATATGTGATAAAGGCTTATAATACTGCTGGACATACAATAGATGACTAATAAATAGTTGTTCTATGAATATTGCTCTATGGCATAGTAATGAATGTATAATGATGTATAATAATGATTTATATGATGCATTTGGGAGTTACCTTTGCTCTCACAAATGTGTAAATATATCTAACAACCAAAACTCTTAAGAGGGTCATCAATTATTTGTGTGTGAAAATGAACTTTTAAACAAATTAATTCTCAAATATTGAATTATTTTTACATTGAATTATGTGATACATTTTCTATATAATTGTTTCCATTTTAAATTTTTCCTCAATATAGTATTGGAGTTGAAAAGTATTAAACTGAACATTTGACTAGGAAGAACCATATTCTCTTTTTCTAAAACAAAATCAGAGGTCATCTAAAGATGCATACTTTTTAGATTCATTTAAATAATCTTATAATTAGCAACTCTAATATTTGTAACATTTTGTATAGTCCTTGTTGCAAAGTTAAATATATCTACTCTTCTATGTCTTCCCAAAGAGAACTCATACAGTTAGACAGACTAGTTGCTCTCTAATAAAATGTTATTCTGTGATTCCCTTAAAAATGAATTACAGATGCTTCTTCTTTAGGAATATAGATATTGAATAGAAACAATAATTGCTCTTGCACAGCTAAGTTCAAATAGTCCTCTGCACTGATGGAAATAGTCCACGTGACCATTGAGCCCTCAAATTGTAACCAGGGTGACTGAAGAAATGCATTTTTAATTTTATCTCAATTAAGTTTGATTTAAATTAAGATAGCCACAGCTTTCTCAAGTTATCAGTTCAAAAACAAGATTTGTGCGAGATAGTTGGAACTAAAAGAAAACATAAAATTTATAAGCTTGGACAATGCCTTTAAAAGCAGTAATGTCACCCTTTCTTTTCAGTCTCCTGCACACAGTTACTCAAGCTATGACTCTGGCAAAAATGAGAGTGTAGACCGAGGCGCTGAGGACTTGTCACTCAACAGAGGGGATGAAGACGAAGATGACCACGATGAGCATGATGATTCTGAGAAAGTAAACGAGACAGACGGCGTTGAAGCAGAAAGGCTGAAAGCTTTCAATGTGAGTCCCGGCACACTCCCTGCATGGTTTCTTTTTTACCACTGTACTTAGTGTTGTTGCTCGTTGGTCAATGTGGATATTTTAGAGCCATGTTTGTTTAATTTACAGAAGGATTTAAAAAGTACATGAAACTCTCTTTGCCAACTAGACACCAGAATTGCTGTGCTTTGTTTAGAACTTTAAAGCTAAATGTGAGCTGGAATCTGGAATGGTGTTGTGTGAGTATGCATGTTTACATAGTAGATAAAGGGGCTCAGCTTATTTCTCGGATGAGTACGCCTGTCCCTCACTGGTTACTCAGTTATTACTTTTGCTTTCCTAGCTTATCTAATTATGCATGACAAAGAGTCAATTGTTTGTTCTCAGAGATTAGTCCACCGAGTAGAGTAGCAATGTAACAGTCGTATTTATCTTTAACAGAGAATTTAACGGGAGGCTCAATTGTCACAGTGTACTGTTACCTCCTGATTTTTTTCTACATGCTAGTCTATTTCTTTCTGTCTGTGTGTCTGTCTGCTTTACTCTCTCTTCTTCTTTCTCTACTTTTTTAATCCAACCATTTAGAAAAATCTTTAAAGAGTGTTTGCTTAAAATTTCTGGCTTCCCATTACAAAGTTCTCCAGTGCGTAAACCAGAAAAGAATATTTTCCAATCGGTAATCAAGACAGGAAGCTAGGAACAGAAGACAGCAGCCCTCCAAACCTTCTCCTCTGTCTCCCTCTTGCCAACAGATGTTTGTCAGGCTGTTTGTAGATGAAAACTTGGACCGAATGGTCCCAATCTCTAAGCAGCCCAAAGAAAAGATCCAGGCTATCATTGACTCATGCAGGAGACAATTCCCTGAGTATCAAGAGCGTGCCAGAAAACGCATACGTACTTACCTCAAGTCCTGCAGGCGGATGAAAAGAAGTGGTTTTGAGATGGTGAGTTTTGAATTAAAACACAGCCCTAGATTCCATCCAAATCCCACATGTAAACCATGACACTATTTTTCTTTTTTTCATCTTAGTGTCTTTTTTTTTTTTTCTTCCATAATGTCAGGTCAAAGGGATTTTTCGTTTGCTTGTTTGTTTTTTCCCCTTCTCCTTTTCATCTCCCTGAAGTATTTCTTCCCTTTGTTTATTTAATAAGGAATATTTTGAGAGACCAGTGCTCACAGAGCCGCGTGGTGCCATGTCACAGAAAATGAGGGTGCTCTGAGTAAAGCCCAGGGAGAACCACCATCTTGTTCGTGGTTGATTTTTTTCCATCACTACCAAAATGGGTTCTGAGGTTAACCAAGCCTTGAGCTGAAGCAGTGGGTGTTGCTTCAGATGATGTGAGGTGGCTTTCTCTTGGATTGAGAGAAAACGGATGGATGCATCTGAAAAATACCATTTTCAAACCAACCATTAACAAATAACAAGCATAGATCAGGGGATGCAAAAGTTAAGGTAAAAATTAAGGCTTTGTTGGGCTGGGAATATTTATTGATGTGCTTCTTCATGGTACCATGAGCTTCGTATTCACTGGGGCTTAGCAGAAGGATGAGATTATGTTGATAGTAGATGATCTGTGAGGTGGAAATTAGAAATCCATGTTTTTTGAACTTTGTTCTAGTTTACCTTGCACTAAATTTACAATGAATGTTTTGTTTTCACTTTTTAATTTTTGCATGTGTGGATAGAAATGTAGTACAATTTTTTTGATTTTTTTTTTTTTGCTTTTACTACTCTGAACTGAGAAGGCTGCATAAAAGTCTAGCCTGTGTTTATAAAACATGTTTCTAATTTATTAGGATCTTGTGATAGGAATTGGCATAGATAAATGATGTTTTAAAGTATATAATCAATAAGAATTTTAGAGGTATAAAAGCCCTGACAAATTGATGATAAGTATAACAGTTCCTCTCTGTAGTATACATTTTTGACACTGGCTTCAAATGGTGTCTACTTTTAAAGAAAAGTGATTGTAATTTAAAGAAGAGGCAGTCTTTCCACATGGTTTGGTGTAGGTATTCTGTTCTCTGGGAACCCACTATCCTGTCCTGGATCCACCACTTTCCCTATACATGCTTTGTGTGAGTAGCTTCAGTGCTTGTGCTCAGGCTTCTCCACAAGAGAGGATCCCAACTTCTGACGTGTATAAGTTGACTCACCTTTGCAATTTATGGAAGATACCATAAATTTGTGGAAGATACCAAGCATTCAATAAATCTTAACCCTAAAAATACTGTTGAATATTATTTAACTCATCATCTGAAAAACATTCACTAAAAAGATTTTATTCAGGATTGTCCAATTAATGGTTTGCTTATTTCTCAAGATATTTACATTGAAATTGACATTTATGTACATATAAATCATTTTATGATAAAAACAGCATAACAGTAATAAATATAACAATAGCAGTGGTGTGGGATAAGACAGAATAAGAGACTGCGTGGAGAAAATAATTTGCCACAGTATGGAATTGTTTAATTATTACTATTCAGGTGATGAATGAAACAGATACCCAGCCAAAAGCTAAACCCAGAAACTGATAGTGGTATCAGGTTCAGAGTTACTTAACAGCTGACATAAAATTCCCGTGGGAGCTAAGCATATCTCTGAGGACATTGCACTTTATTGTCTTCCAATAACAGTAAAGATAATGGTATCATCCATACACATTTTGTCAGCATCTAGTGTTATTATTTTTCTAACATTTTAATATTTAGAGATTCTTGTTAAAACTTGGCTTACTTTATATGGAAAATTTTTGTATTAATCATTCTTTAAAAATATCACTATGCAGAGTTAACTTTTTGAAAGTTTATTCAAACATTGAATCATTTTTAAAAATTCATTACCATTTTTATGAGTTAATTCACTTTAACACAGCATCTATATGTTGTAAACTTTGTGTTATACATGGAGAACAAAAAGTTAAGTTTTATGAATTGATCTTGAAGTAAATATGCTATCAACAATTACATAGGATTTAAATTTCAATAATTTTCATGCATTCATTCTTTTCATTTTTAGTACAATTATTGTATGTATAACTTTATACAAAGAAACAAGGAGAAATATACAGCTGACTTGTTAATTAGGATAAAATATTTCCTACATCATCATGATATGTTAAGAAGATAGTTGTGTGAAATGCTGAAGTAGTAACACAAGGCTTATTTAAAATATTAAATGAATTCCATGTACATAAATGGATATTAAATTTAGCCCATTTTTGTTTTTTATATTACCAAGTAATATACCATTGGAAATAACAAATCAAACTCACTATCTGAGTTACATGGGTTATCTATCTAAGGTAGACATGGGTTAATCAACTTTCTGTTACGATGACAAGTGTTACCTCAGGTAATCATATTATAAAAAGGAAAGTTTTGACTGGCACAAAAGTTTGGAGAATTCATTCTGTGGACAGTTGGCCCTGTTGCTTCTAGGCCTGTGGTGAGGCAGCACATTATGGTAGAGAGCATGTGATAGAACAAAGCATCTCATCTCATGATTGCTGAGAAGCAATGGGAGACAGAGGAGGGCCCAAATTCCAACGTGTCCTTGAAGGACATGCCATAATATCCTCCAACTAGGTCATTCCACTTAAAGTTTCCCCCACTTCCCAACAGCACTATAGTATGGGGACTTAGCCTTCATTCAATGCCTAGGCTTTAGAGATCACTTAAACAGCATAGCAACACAGCTGAAATTTTAAATTGTTTTATTCTCATGGGAATGTATACAAATTTTGTGACATTTTTGGCATCCATGATTTTGTTGAATACTAGGAATGGGCATGGTTACTGAAGGCAGTAATTACCACTAAATTTTTACATGGACAATTTTGTCTCCATAATTTTTAAGTTTGATATAAGATAAAGTACACAGGGAAATTTTTAAAATTGAAATATTAAACACTAATATTCTATTGCATTTTGTGTAGGTAGATATGAAGATAATGTATCATTTAAAATATGTGAATACTTTTAGATGGAGTTATCCAACAATATATAACAAATAGACAAAGACCTTTGTAATATTTTCATAAGATGTAACTGTAACAATGCAGACTTATTTAGTAGGGGTAGCTGTATTGTATAGTAAAACTAGCATTCACAACTCAGTTCTTCCATTAATGAAAGATCTCTATCATCAGACGATTCATTAAGTAGACAGAAACATGAAAATATAGAATTATATGCTTCTCAGTGACTTTAAGAAATTCAAAGAGATACTCTCCTAGAAATGGTTTAAGACAATATATATCTGTAATAAACTTGAGAATCTTGTCATTCTGAATAGTTTTTTCACTGTTAATACAAATTCTGTTCATGTTTAATTACCTTATACTACCTTTGAATGGAGTTCCATGCCAAGACAAATTCTTCTAATTGGCTTCACTTGATGCATACAAATCTTAATATATATATTTATACATAGTTATTTTACTGGAATTATGAAACCCTTCACAGGTCTTGATTTCTTGAGCAGCAGAAATTTCTGTCATGCTCCAAATAATCTCGATAGTACGTGCGGCATAATAACTATAATGATTCTTTTCCACACATTTTCACAATTCTTTATTACCAGGCATCTCAAATCAAAAAAATCTTCAGTGGTAGATGTAAAAGCTCATGTTTAAAGAAAAAATCTAATAAGTTTGGTTCAGAATACTGTCAGAGTTTTCACTGAATTGTGAACTTGATGAGTTGTAAAGCCATTAAATTAAACCTCAGGAAAATACTGTGTATTAAGCTGCTATTGATTCTATAGTGTAGCTTTGACTTCCAAGTTACTTCAGGTACTTCAAGTACTTCTTTGAAAGAATAGTTGTTCATTGTTGAAAGATACATTTCTGCAAAGTATTCTGATCCTGAATTCAGTGCTAGAACTAACGAAGCAAAGATTTATGAATAAGAGGTAATTAGTCCCTACCAAATACCATCTCTGTTATACGATAAAGTTTCTTGCTTTTGTTTCCTAAATTTGCATACTTTTACCACATTGCATATGATTCCATGTATTGCTATAAAATTTAGATCAAGACATTTAGGGGTGATATAGAGTAAGAAAATTTTAGTCCATTATTCCTTTTATATTCCAAAATTTGTCATGGTACGGATAGGCCAAGTAGCCTATGTATTCAAATTAAATAACCTCAACTTCTTGAAAATTCCTCAGTTGACTGTTCTAAACAGTATATGACTGAGATAAATAGCATGTTTGTATATAAAGTACCTCACAGATTTTAAAAATGTTGGCCAAGAACATTGCCCGTTAGGCTAAAAAATGTCCAGTGTAGAAGACCTAATTTTAGAGACTTCTTTTAGAATTTAATGCAAGAAAAAATATTTGTCATGAAAAAATAAAGTGTTTTTGTCGGTTCTCATCACCAGGACTGTACAGCTAAGTATCTGCCTTTCTGTGACTCACTGACAGCAAGTTTGGAGCTAAACTCTTTCAAATGTCCCAGTTGTTCTATTTATCTTGGTAAACTGATTTTCATGATGGACCTAACACTTATTTTAATGAAGCAAATAAGTGATAATATTTTAAATAAGGAAACATCTAGTTCCAGAAACACCAGTAAATATGTTTTTCGTATTAAAGACATCACATTCCTCTGAGAGGACTTGACTTCTCACAGTATTTGCTTTTATTTGTCTAATTATGTTCAAAGTAGAAAGTTCAGAATTTATTTTTAGTTCACAGCTTTGACCAGGCTTGATGGCACATGCCTAAATTTCCAGAACTCGGGAGGCTGAGGCAGGAGAATTGCTTTAAGTTCAAGGCCAGCCTGGGGCACAAAGTAAGTTTGAGGCCATCCTGAATTGCATAGTGAGACTTTTGTCTCAAAAAAGACAATGTAAATCAATAGATAGATAGATAGATAGATAGATAGATACATAAATAAATTATAGCTTGCCTGTTAGTATAACCAT